CCACCTCTTCTTTGCCGAGGATACGGAACCCCAGAGTGGACTAGCAACTAGCTCCACATGAAACATTCATTATCTCCTGCTCCTCAGTGGTGCCTAAGATTTCTTAATAGAAGGCTATCTCGTAGAATACGAAAATGTCGTCCAGTATTTACACTGAAGTTTTAATTATTAAATATATTTAAATTACTAAAATGACTCCCTTCTTGTAATTGTAAAAATCAATAATAATAATAAATATAAACGATAAATAAAGATAAAAGCACTATCATAATCCCAACAATATAAACAAAAAACAATATATATAAAAACTCATTTCTCAACTTTACAGCTATTAATTCCATAATCTTGCGTATCGCATTAGTAAAAATTGATAAAAAATTATATCTAAAATTAATCAAGCACAATAAACTTTCCTCAGACTAACATATATTGGCGCCGCAGTGCGCGTTGTAGATTAGTCATTTTATTCTACTGCGAAAGACACGAGGGTCCACCTGCGAATCAGACATGATAGACGGCTGAGGCTCTAAGACACTCTCGAGAGGGCCGTTGATAATGGATACTGTTGCGCGCTAAGGCGGACCAAAGCTCTAATATACTCACCAGTGTGCGGGGCGAGTATGAAAGAGCATTAGACAGCGGAGAAGCCGATGCAACATATTGAGCAGATAAAGATTCTATTGATAAAATGAGCAAAACCCCGTTTATATGCGTTTTGTGTCAGAACAAATGCTACAAGTTCTAGGGTGCAAAGACGATGACTCTTGGCCAAGGCACTTTTTTGCAACTTTAAGAAAACAGTCCGCTGGCCAAGAGTTGGCCTACTTCCCCAAAACACCAGCGTTGTTAAGACGCTTCTGCCATATGCACAAGAAAATGCAGTGTAAGTTTTAGACAAAATATTTCTTAAGTAATCAAAAATATTATTTTAGTTTTTGATTAAATTTCATAACTTGCAATATATTTTTTGTAGCATTATTCCAAGGACCAATTATTCTTATGAAATGAAATATCAAAGTAAATTGCATTTCGTTTCTGCGAATTTAGGCCATGGAAAACTGTGTATATTGATGACACTCTGCCACTTGTGAAAATGGTGAACTTATCTACACAGGTGCACCAAAAGCAATGAATTCTGCTAACCCCTTTGGAGAAAACGTTTTGCAAGTAAGTTCTATTGTATAACGTCTAAAACCCATACGATCGTTCTATTCGCCACTTGCTTCCCTGTAGCACTTGCCAACCTTCCTCCAGGAGAAAGAATTCACAGAATGGGCAGCTGAAATGTTCTCACCTTGTGCCAACGGACAAGTAGTTTCTAACACCTGAAACCAACATCTCAACCAATCTACAGTTCTTTCAGACTAAAGAAAAAAACCTTCTTCCCTAAGGATTGATTCTTGAGATTGTGTATAAATAAGTACATATATACATTAGAACACGTGAGACACTGTTCACTTGTAAATAATAATTGTATGAATCTAAAAATTGATTTAAAGTAGCACCTAACTGGCGAACGCCCATCCTCGAAACTATGTTTCACACAATGTATAGGCCCGCCCGCGAACTGTGCGAGAGAAAACCTTTTTAATACTGCTGAGCGTTGATAATTAAAAAATATGCGTACAGAAATAAAATAGGTCCCTTTAAACTTTATCGTAAAATTATCCTTTCGGTATTTTACTCAATGTCATTTTGAAATGAATGAGGTCGTTATTAGTAGAATTACTGCCTTATGTACATAATTCGGTCCAATCTGTGCCAGTTTTCCCAACTGTCCCCAATCTATCCTTCACCTCGCTAGCAATATGCCCTAATCATTTCCCCATTAGCCATCTACCGCCCCTCTCTTCTGTCCCGAATTTACTTGTACCTGAAAAACAGTTGCACCCTCTTGGATACCAAACCTGTTCAGAAAAGCCTAGGACGCCACGCTTCGAGTATAATCGCTATATTAATATGTGTTGCAAAGTAATATTTTGTTTTGCAGTCATTAATCTGCAAATTTTGCTATTTCATTGTCTCTTGAAATAGGTTCTATATAGGTGGAGGTCACAGTATCACATTGAAACAAGGTTTTATGTCGATTGTGCTTTATAAAATGTCAAAAATCAATCGTTTTTTGGCCTTAGCATGTGCGCTAGAAGCTTTAAACAAAGATACTTTGACTAACAACATTCCAAAGTCCAAAATTATCGGGCGCTACAACATGTATTACAATGTTTAATAAACACTAAATAAGTGCCACAGATGGTACAGACATTTTCAAAGCATATTTAAAGCCTAAGGGGATTCAAAGAGCAGGATAATGTAAAAATTATTTTGTATTTTTTAACCTCTAGCCGAGCAAACAGTCGAAAAAATCTTAAGTAAATTCAAAATGTTATACAATATTGCAAGCCTGCCTTTAGGTTATAAGACACAGTAAAAAAGTTTGTTCGTTATTACTTTTTCAAAAAAAAATGCTGTTTGAATGCCACGAGAAAATATAAAATATATTATTCTGAAAGTATAAATTATTCTTATTTTTCAATCAATACAATAGTACTAAAAATGACGATAAAAGTATGAAAAAAGGTTTTTGCTCTAGAAGGGTTGATGGTGTTGGTCTAAGAAATCTTACAATTTTTAATGTTTGAGGCAGAGACTTGTTACATTAGTGCAACAAAAAACCATTATTTTTTTGGGAACATGTTATTTTTTTAATTTGCATTATTTTGAGTGAAATGTGATTATAGTTGTTAATTTTTCAATTCATGGAAGTTACAGCGTCATTGAGGAGATTTCTAGTGAGCGTTTTTGTGTCTCTCCGGTTTACTCACTAAAGAGTATAGTGTAGCAGATTCGACCATCGGTCAGTTGCTATGACCTGTTTGATATGGAGATTCAGCACAATTCTCTCATCGCGACTGGCAACAATGTGAAGACAACGTATGCTGGGATTTAGAGCCCTGCGTCAGTAATCGACACACAAGTAAAGTCCATGGTGCAATCTTTCTGCTGCATAGTTGTTTCAATACAATTAGAACTTATACCGAACATTCAAAAGGAAAGAATATTAATTTTAACAAATGATTTAATGGCACCATTTGGTCGGTTATAATTTCTAAACAACCTGTAACATATTGTGACTTCAGCTTCTAGAATTCAATATTCACCATCTCAAATCAGGTTTTCGACCGGGTTTTCCGAACTTTTGAGCGAATGCTGAACAAAGCTCAGGAGCCGGCCTCGCTGGTGGGAGATACCTGTTGTGGAAAAACCCGCTAGCGACGGTATCGGCGTCGCGATCGCAACCATTCGGCGGAGGGAATATCACCGCCACCTCCCAAAAAAGTTACTACGTTTACGGGACTAGTGCCTCAGCAGTGACGCTCGCTTAATCACTAATCAAATCGAAACTCTGGCGTAGAAGTTGAGATTCCTAGTGGTAGTGAGTGTTTTTGGGTCTTTTTTAAATCTGTCAAATCATTACCTAGTGATGGATAAAAATTACTCAATAATGAACGTTGACATGACGTGAAGGTCGCATGTCGGAGAACATTGAATATTTCCTCAAAAAACTCAAAAAAATTTGAAGTCCACCAGCAAGACCATTATAAATTTTTTTTATGTAAATGTCTCCTTTGAGTCTGGCATCTCTTCAAGTCCATAACCTCCAGCACACGCGCCATGGCAAGTCTGCCGAACTAGCATGTTCCAAGCTGCAAAGTGAACGTAGAATGCATGTATCACTTGAGTATATCTTTGTTACAAGTTTCAAGGCTTCAAGTCGATAGTATAAGCTATAAGAATATATTAAAAATTAAAGAGCATTTTCTTCTAAGTACAACTGCTAACAAACGCCTACGTAACGCTGTTTGTGACCGCTGTGAGTGATTGATTTCAGAAAATTGCATTTATCCACATTTTGGAAACCTGGTTAAGGCCTGCCAATACTCAACTCGCAACAGACAATTTCGTTTTATTATACTGTAATCGGGTATTAATTATAGCGGATGAGGGGATGTAGGCGTGATAGGCCTGGCACAAAAGTCGGCGTTCCAAAACGATTCCAAAGTGTTCTTATAGATTTCAAGGTGCAGATCCAATCCGATTGTACAGCGGATTTATGTCGTTTAAACTTACTCCCCACAAGCCGTTTGCAGATGTACAGGTGGCTCGATCGTATGTACAGGTGAAAGATCGCCATCCCCGAATGATTTTCAAACACTGGGAGAAAGCAGATGTGTTAAACATAAACGTAATCTATGCCGTGAGTAGTGCTACAAAAAAACTACAAGGGGTGCAAGGCCCTCTCCATGAAAAAACACCCGACCACACCATACTC